TAGCCACGGACGTGCTTTTCTTTCCACCCTGTACATATGATAACAATTACGTGCTTACTTACCTACGTTCATAATTTATCCTAGTGTGTACAGTCGGTAAAGAGGACCGGGGTGATCGATGGATCGGGTCAAATCAAATTTCTGAAACCCTACTTTGACCTTCGATCGACATCTTACACCTGTATGAATCTCAAGATTAGCTTGGATTTGGACGTTACGCAAGAACGACGATGCGGATCAAGGATGAACGCGTTAAACCGGTTCAATAACGTTCACAGGGTTCGAAAGCGACGACACGTTCTATTTATTCTTAACCAATACTTCCATCAAACCGAATTTATACCGTATTCCGCGACACGATGTGAAAATTCCCTCTTGCGTGTATCCCGCTATTGGAAACAGTAATTTCTTTTTCATAGAGTAGACGGGGCCTATCTTTCGTAACAAAAGCAAGAAAATGATACGTGTTTAATAAAACTTCGAACGCGCAGCTTGGGATCTTGTTTTATCGCGCGGAAATATATGGTTAAAAATGGGGTGAAATAAAATTCGAGGGATGGCATGCAATTATTCGACCCGTTGAAATTTTATTGACAGAGCCGGCAGCTTCGTAAATTTTTACGAATTGTAGAATGATTAATATTGAAAGAGAGATGGATTACAATTGACTTATAAATTGAATCGACAGGAACGTAACTTTTAATAGCAATTTTAACAATCATGATACAATGATTCATTCTGGTACAATAATGTACTGTGATAAGAAAGTTATGATACTTTTTTAAATTTATTGATTAAGAATGAAATGGAATAAAGTTCAGAAAATGATATAGAATTGTTTAATTTGATTCTATTAACAAACCCTGTAATATGAAATAATCAAAATTGAAAAGAAGATGGATTACGATTGATTTATAAATTCAGTGGATAAATTGACGGACAGAAATATAATTTTAATAACAATGTTAACATCGTGCTAATATTATAATTAATACATTATACTTATTTATGACAGGAAAGTTGTATCATGTTTTTGTTTTTCCATTAAAAATAAAACGAAATAAAATAAAATAAAATTCAAGAGATGATATGAAATTGTTCAATTTGTTTAAATTCCATTAAACCTGACAGTATATGTGAAATAATTTAAATTGAAAAAGAGACAAATTGGTTTGCAAATTAAATGGATAAAACGACCAACAGAAATATAATTTTAACAGCAATTTTAAAATCGTTTCGACATTAGAGTAATATAATATAATATATATTATACTGTGCTTATACGACATTAGAATAATGTAATATAATATATATTATACTATGCTTATACGACATTAGAATAATGTAATATAATATATATTATATTATGCTTATTCGACATTAGAGTAATGTAATATAATATATATTATACTATGCTTATTCGACATTAGAGTAATATAATATAATATATATTATACTATGCTTATTCGACATTAGAGTAATATAATATATATTATACTATGTTTATTCGACATTACAGTAATATAATATAATATATATATATTATATTAAATATGCTTATATATATTATATATATTATACTAGGCTTATTCGACATTAGAGTAACATAATATAATATATATTATACTATGCTTATTTACGAGAGAAAAATTATATTATTTGTTCATTTTTTTTTACGATTAATCTTTGTATTATATTTTCCAAAATTGTTTCAATCGAAATATACCCATTAAGCTCAAAGAAATAAATATTTACATAAATACATAATTACATTCTCAAGTGGAAGCAGAAATTAAAAGTTAAATCTCCAAGTAATAACTTAAACTTCTACGTTTCAGATACTAGATCACCTACTATCGATGACAACGGAATATTTTACTCAGACCAACAAAATTAACAATGTAATTTTCCTTTCAAAGAAAATATTTCTCACGTGTACTTGTAAATAATCCAATCTCATTAAAGGCATTGAACCATCGAATGAAGAACGAAGAATTGAACAATCTAATTAATAATAATATTATATAATCTAATTAATAATAATATTATATAAACGATATTGACATTACAAATTGTAATGGTTTCAGTCGTCGAATAAAAATATATAGATGTAAAATATACATGTATAAAAATATATAGTATCTCTTCTATAAGAAAAAAAAAGAAAAAAGGAAATGAAATGTGAGTTCAACAAATGATACATGTACCGTGTATGTAGCTTCAACGTGTCAGTAACCTCGCCCTTGAACAGCTTACGCATTCTAATCGAGCCAAATAAGTGGTTGTGCGTCCAAGCAAAAATTGACATTAGTTCATTACACCATACCTTCGACAAGGTTAATACCCGTTTAAGCGGCTCATTGTCATTGCCCCCTCACTGTCGTCATTTCGATTCGTTACTTCGGCTACGAATGTCTCCTAAGTTCACCGAACGTTCTCGTGATCACAGGCAAATCATTCCTCCAATTATAAACGATTATTCAAAGATGTTTCTATCCCCATAATTTTCTAAACTTCACTTTTGTGCAATAAAATAAATTTGCATACAAAAGATTATTTATACACGTATTATATTGTTATATTATTGCACTTATATTATCATTATTGTTACATAATTATGCATGCTATAACATGTACAATATGGTGTGAATAATTCTCGTATAGACGAATTCATAGGGGTCGCACGAAGATCACCTCCGTTCTTCACGATATATATATATTTTTTGATCGGTCCAGCTCGTTATTAAGCTATTTACGTCAAGAAATCACCAGTTCAGAAGATATTTAAATCGTTAAATCGAAATATAAGAAGTTAAATACCAGTATATATGAAATATATCAGAATTGAATTGGGAAGTAACGTAAATTTATCACGTTAGGCAGTTAACTTTCGAGAGCAAACGCCGTGATATTTGGGAAAATATTTCGACAACAGTATCTTCGAACAAAGGTAAAAGGTAGAACACGAATGAAAGGTAGCCAACACGCTAACACCCAGCCCCGAAACTTCCTTGTTTATACCTGACAAGGCCGGATACAATGCGAAATATCCGCATCTCCGCGTTTCACGTGACGCAAACTTTATTCATTTATTCTGTCCCGTCCAACCGGCTTTGCGATAGAAATGCAAACACGGGGGCGGAGGGAGAGGCGTGCACTTCATTCATCGATCCCGGCTTTTAAATTTACTGAAACCACGTAACAACAACAACCACACACGGCCGGCCGCAGTCGTTCCGTGGCGTTACGCAACGCGCGGTTAAAAATGATGCGACCTACAACACGATCAAGCCCCATCGATCGCGATCGGGTCTCGAGACACACTTCGAATCGATTCGAAATATTTTCTTACAAGCCCGATACTTTCTATCGACTCGACCACGGGCAAGTAAGTTCGCGTAACTGCTATTCTGTCAACCCCTTTCCTTACCGATTCCCTTTCCAAACTTCTCAGGCGCGAGCCGAGAATTAATTATCATAAATGGGTGATGTATCGAAATCGTTGTACTTTCTAATATTGTCAAATTGGAGAATTCAAATTGTCGAATTCGAATTGATGTGTGGCATTGTGTGATCTTTTGTTTTTGGCTTTTTTTTTTCTGTCAAACTGAAACCATAATTTTAGGCAAGAGGGTTAATGATTTCTCGTTCGACACAACAGACGTTTGGGTTCAAGCAAGGATTCATTTCATCATTTTAACAGATATTTTTATTCATTTGTATTTTATTCGATGTTAGTATCATTGATATTGTATTCGTAATTGATATAAAAATGTTAATATAAATGGATAAAAGTATCTATTAAAGTAGTACAATTATTGTGCCGTGAGATTTTTATAATGACAGTTTTAATATAGCGGATTGAAACAATATTCGCATATCATTTTTTCATACATACGTACGTGATATTGACTGACCGAAAATATTGATACAAATAAATAAAAACATTTATTAATATCAAATAATAAAATTGTAATAATAAAGTAATAAAATCATAAAACCGTATATTTACATAATAAAATGTTAATTCAGATATGAGTGATAATTATGATATTATAGCAAAACTGTAATATTTTTACGATACAAGTAATTTTTAATAGAAAATTAGATTAATTTAGGAGCTGTACCACCGCAGGTATTCATCACAAAATGCAATAACGTATTCAAACAATTTTACAATCACAATCGCCAGGAATAAATTATTCGAATTAAAAATTGGAAAAGAGAAATAATTGAAACAGAAAAATTATTAAAATATTTCTTTAAATATTATGAAGTAAGATCAATAAAATCAACGACGAATCAATTACGAGCAATAATTAAGTACAAAATATTAAACATTACGTTTGTACGTAAATAAATAGTAACGATGTGTTTTCTAGTTAAATTACAAACGTTAAATTTTCATTCTTTTTCTTTACATTACATGATTAAGCATTCTATATAAAAGAATACATAATATGTGTATATTAGGGGCAATAAAAGAAAGTACGTAATACTAGTGAAACATTTTAATATGTAAAGATATTAAACACTTTTTGACTGTCAAATCGTCATTTTTCTTTCATAATTTTCCACGCTGCATCGAGTGTTCCACACTATCCTACATTGAGTGTTCTAAAAAAAAGGCACAACGTATGCATGTTAAAAGATACTAAAAGATATATATACTACTTGATATTAATACATCGCTTTATATACATATATATATATATAAAGATATTTCAAAAATAAAGATGCCTGGATAAAGATATTTCAAAATCTTCTAAAGTCTTCTAAAAAGAAGAAGAAAAAAAAAAAAAATACACCACAGGTGTATTTTTGCATCAGAAGGCACTAAAACTACGTCACTACTACCAGAACTTAGACACTGCATCACTTCTTCAGTACTAAACATAAACAAAAACCCCCGTCGTGCAATTTCCATAGATGGTGAATGACATTCTTTACAATCGATCGTCGTCACACGAGAGTAACGTGCTCGCGAACGACACGAGATATCCTATCCGTGAAAGTGTGTCTTCAAGAATCTTCTCTTTAAGAATCGGCGACCTCGAAAAGTCGCGAATCCCAGTACGTATGTATGTATGTATTTTCACGGATCGGAGTCGCCGGTGGTCTACGAACGATTCCGATCGATCGCAGTCGCCCGGATGGATACGAGGAAGTCGACTGGTACTGGGGCCGACCAGGCGTCTTACGAGCGAGGCTTCTGCACGAACGCAGACATCGATCCGACTTTGGCCTTTGGAATGCACCGTGCCGTTACATAATTACGTCGAACGTAATGTTACATCGTTACGCAAGCAAAGACCCGGTGGCCACGGACACGACAGGGACACGTCGCACTGGCAAAGAGGCAACCGGTTCGTCGAGCGGCACGCTCTAAAATTAATTCGATATGTTAACTCGCTCTCGTTGCTCGGCCAGAAGTCACGCCGATTCCTCGCGGACCCGAAAATCCGCGGATTTCCAAACGACCCGACGACGTGGGCATGCTCATTCTCGCGTTATCGTTGTAAAATTCACTTGGTGGATCGATGTTTTCTTTTTTGGTTTGTTTTTATTAAAAAAATGTGATAAATGTAACTGAATATGAAGGGATCGACTTTATCTACATCGTTGTATTTTTCCTCTTCCGTTTTTAACAGGAAGGCTTTGATACGACAGCGACGAATTGAGATTTATTATTAATCGTCTTCTTCGGCCTGCATGTACGTATCTAGATTGACTCGGGTAAGAAATCGAAATTGAATTAACTGTTACTTGAAGAGTACTTAAAATGGTTTGAAAATTTAATATCAAATTGTATGACAAATTCAATGCGCATTCATCTTCAAATGTGTACCTTTTGATACATTTATTTTTCAGCGTGTAGTGTGATATGTTACGCTCTAATAAGTAAACCAATTATATTTTAAGCATGTTCCCGATATTCCATGTATGAACTGAATGCACAGAGGGTTAAAGAAATAGCAAATTTTTGCGAAACACTGTAAAAAATTCTATCTGCTGCGTTAAAGTTCTAGAAAAACGATTTTATTTCTTTGTTTCAGCGTGACGTAAACAATTACAGCATAAATTGATAGGGTGTAAATTAAAGAAGATAAAGTAACGACAGAAATTGCGAAAAATAGCAATTGTTATTAAATATTATATAATCAATATATAATAACTTTATTATATAGTATTATATTATTATTAATTATAACATTCATAGAATTATAATTATTTTATTATTAAAGAATTAATTTTAAAGGATATATAAAAAATTATTCCTTTTTAATTACTAAAAGGAATGGTCTTTCTTAAATCATTAGCTCTCAAAGTATTATATATTTTTTATTTAAAATTTATGGATTAAAAGTTGCTTGACGATTATCGCCCGTCGTTTACGTGTAACAAAGCGTTTAGTTTCGTAACAAAACATTTTTCCCACAAAGGTTGCTGTTGCATAACTGACATCCCGGATGATGGAGGTAATATACTGACAACAAGGTTACTGAATATTTATTTAAGCTTTTATGCAACGATAAAAAGACAGATAACTGTAATTTATTGCGACAAATTCATTTTGTAGAGTAGGTTGAAATGTCAAACTTATACGATTTAATTAATTATTTTCGAACAACAAAGAATGGATTATTGCATTCACTGCGCTTCAAAATTTACAATACCGATTCTTTCTTCTTTCAATATTGATGAAAAATCTAAAAATTTAACTTGCAACTGAAATTTGTATATTGAAATATAAAGTCACAGTTTCCATTCACAGCAATTAAGATTCAACTTACACCTTTTTTTTATATTGAAAAATAAAATTACGGTTTCTCGTGGTCCTAAACTTAACCCACACTTTCGGACAAAATTATAGATTTTCATACCCAAGATTTAACAATGCAATCTCGCAAGTAACCGTTCGCTGTCTACTTGAAATTCGCTAGATCTATCAAAATAGATTCTGGCGGTTTAATGCCAAAGAATGTTGAAATTTTTAGTATGTTTAACACGTACGAGAATGTAGTTTGAAATTTTTTTCTAAGAAATTAGTAAATAATCTCGACGAATAATTCATAACTTCTCCATGTGATAGATCGTAGTTACGTAAAATGATCTACTTCGTCAGTCGACACATCGATCCGGATCACCTTCGTTTGATACGGATTTATATCTGATTGCAGTGCACGACGCACACGGAGTTCCATGGGAAATCGACGGGAAACATGTTCGTCGACGAGCTCAACGTCGACGTACGACCGGTTCGTGATGGTCGATGCAGCAATTAAATGGTCTCCGCGGTCTCGACGAAGGAACTGGCTTAATTGAAGAATTAGTTTAGGTAGGAGTTCGTCTCTCGTTCGTGCTTAAGACGATCGCGAGCGATCGCGTTAACATCTTCCGATTCCGTGGCACAGTTCATCCGAAATAGGTTTAACTTTCATTGGATTAGAGCGGCGAATACGTTCGAATGATTCGAAATGTAAATTTATTTGAATGAAAAATTCTGCTGCAGAATGAATAACGTTGTACGACAGTTATTAGATTTATTAAGAACGAGATATTCCGTTTGTGATAATTTATTAAGAACGATATGTTCGAGTTATTATTGGTTATTATATCGTAGAAAATGAATAAGTTTCTCAACAGTTGCGTAGATATAGAATTATTAGATTTATTCAGAACGATAGATTCGTTTGAGCGATTGTTATATTATAGGAAATAAGTAACAAGTGAGTAACAAATATTGGATCTATTAAAAACGAAGTATTTAATCTTACGATTTCCTTTTCAATCTTCCTAACTAAACGTTAATTACCGTCACTTGTTCTATTGTGTGAAACGTGCACAATGAAATTGCGTACACTGTGTGCACAAATAAAATTTAATTCGAGGAATTTTGACATTTAATTTAAAGAGTTGAAATTGAAAGTTCGAATTTAAAGAATTGAAATTAAAAATTCTGAATTTGAATTACACAGGACTCTACAACTTACATTCAAAGAAATTAATCTTTTATATTTTACGATTATAATTTTTAAGATCGCGACAAATAAATAAAATTGTTTTGATGATATGTATTCCATATAATATATATATATATATAAAGTCATTTACTTATTGAATATCTTTTCATGTTATTTTTATATTTCTCTGTATTATTATCGACAATTGTTACTGTGCACTTGGAACTATTTACAGAAAGTAAAAGTAAATTGTTGCTGCGCACTTTGAACTATTTACAGAATTTTCAAAATTTATTTTCACGAAAATATTGCAAGAGAACCAAGGATGCGCCAATGTCTTCTTCGTTGTATGCGTGTGTCACGGATGCAGCGCGTCTAATTGTTCGCGAGGATGGATATGTAATAGAATTATTAGGCTCGCGCTTTACTCCATTTCCCTGTTAATACATCTATAAGTCCACGTTAAAACCGCATCGACCGACCGGTGCACAGTGAACGTTACGTTTCTGCGATGGATGCACTCCTTTGTGTGCGGACTAAATCGAGTTGGGTTGCTCAATTTCAAGCGAACTTCGATTCACAGCCCGAGCTGAAACTCGGGTAAGCATACATTTAAACAATAATTGCGCCATTCAGAACGCGTGACATCGTTCGATATCGTTATTCAACTTAGGGTAGAACCGGCCGATGAACTGCTCGGGATACGTTCTCCGCTCCCTCAAGAATGGAGGCTTCTCCAGGTACATAATTCGTTGGAAGGGTAATCTTTGACTTTTAATTTAATCTAATCGTTGACTTTCTCGTACTTAAAAAAGATATGTACATAGAAAGATATGTATGTTACTATTGTGAAGAAGCATTTGGACACTTTTAAATAAAATATAATTCGAGTGAATTAAATTCAACCTTAATATATGCAGTTAACGGACATTGATAAAAGGAAGAGCTTGTAATAATAATAAAAGAACGATATTATAATAATTACGTGGTTGAAGATACTTCAGAGTGTACTTTGAAAGTACAGTGCCATAACTGAATGAAATTAAACGTTTGATATTCCATTTCTGAATGAATATATTTGTATTTAAAAAAAAAAAATTGTATTTTTATCATTGGACTAAATATATCAATCCCGTCTTATTGTAATTTGAAACTATAGTTGACGAATATTGACATACTAAAAAAAGAAAACAATAACAATACATAAGTCGAATTTTAAATAATGAAAAATGCACTTCCATTTAGAGCAACTGAAAATATGAAATAAAATTTCTTTCTGCTTCAACCTTCATTTTCATCTACCCATCTCAGAAGAGACAGTGATTTTTTCGTCAGTATTTGTCAGTGAGAAAATTGCGAAAGCAAATATAAAACTTAAGAGAAAAATTGGAAACAGTTTTGCTACTTTTCCAATCCGTTGTTCTTACATCAAATCAGTCTCTCTCTTTCTACGCTCATTATCAATTACGCATACAAAATATTCCTTTAAAATAATTTATTTTGAATTCACATCAAGATGAAAAAAAATGTGTATATTTCGTTCTCCGTAACGCAGTAATCTCCTAGCATTGAGCAAATTTGACCTTCGATATCCGTAACCGCAGCAATGAAATGAAACGACCAAGACGATTATTAGTTACGCAACACGAAATTATCGTACTTCATTCGCGTATTGTTCATCTAATCGTCCCGTTTTGACAACGAAGGAAATCTAATTAATCCGTTTAAGACTCGAGCGAGCTAAAGGCAATTCCAAGGGATAAACAAGTTACCGGGACGCGAAACTCTTATCTTGGCTGCCCAACTGCTCGAATATAAAACGAGGCTGAACTTTGCTTTTGGTATTTATTAACGACGATACTGAGTGTTCGCTGTGAGATGAGATTTAAATCGAAAATAAGAGCTAGGTAAATGGCAGTGCATCTCTGGACAAAGAAAGTTTAGAGTGAACAAATGTCACTGACGTTGGACGTGCTTGCTTGATATAGTATATTATTGAAATAAGTATATTGGAAAAATTGGCTAATTGAGGTGCTTATGATGAAAACAATCTTTGTCAAATTTTTAGATGATTATGAGATCTAAACGTATGTGATTTTATAATTCAATTAGATGTTTTTTTTTTTATCGTATTCATATGTCTATGTATATATGTATATTCGAATATTCATATATAATATCATGGCACAGATTACGGATTTTTATACCTTTTCAAAGGAATTATTATTAAATAGAATTCGTTTTATTCGCTATAAGTAAATTATACTATAAACGTTATTTACTTTTCTGCTTGAAAAAAAAGAAAAAATTGAAAAGACAGAAAAATTGAAAAGAAAATTGAATTTCCCCACGATGAACAGTGTAATTTTTCGTGCGACTTACCTGATTCGATCGACACAATCGGCGATTAAATCGGTAAACACGGGATTCTGGAAAGACAATAGCATTGTTGCGTCGCAAGTTGGTAAGAAGAAGGCAGGTTTAATTAACTATTTAATTAATTTATTTGTATTTATCGTATAATCACTCGTAAGTACCGGGGGATACGTAAACAATCAGCTCAAATTAGTTTAAATACAAATAGCCTAAAACACATCATTTTTTTTTTTTTTTTGTTTACATACTTGATATTATTATAATATTCACAGACAGACTTAGCCACGTTTCGGTTCTCATGATTTTCTTTCTTTCTTTTTTTTTTTTTTTCTCAATAATATTATCTATATATTTATACATATACAATTGACCCGTATTGTCTCGGATCATAGACGTCAAAGAGGCCGAATTGCAGCGAACCTCAGGTAATTCGGCGACTTCGATCCGCACTTAGATTCTTTATTATTTTCTTCTCATTATATTTATATATATATATATATATTTATTTATTTATTTATTCATATTTATATTTATATATTTATATTTATCGATATACAAATATGTATATATACACATATGTATGCATATATGTATATTCATTTATTATATTCATAGGTACATCCTTACGGGCGATCGTAGCTGCGAATCGAAAAGAAACGGCGAAATGTGTCGAGGGAAACGATACGATTGCAGGTGAAGACATTCGTCCCTTGCCGCTTAATTATTGCTTTGAAAACTAGCTTAATATTTATTGTATATTTGCTAAAAGGCTAGTTCAACGATCCTTCGTCGACATGCGTGTAATACAAGGTACTGATCCTCCCAAGGTTCACGTTCGTGGTTGGCACGCATATCCGATAAAACTGACTGACGATCGGGAAAGCTGAAACTCGACTGACTCGAGTTCGATCGAAAGCTTTGTGCCGAGTGTTTGTGACATCGACTTGCCCACCCATCGCCCTCTTTCTCTCATTTTGTTGAGGCAAGTCGGCTTCGTACAAAAGCATTTCGTCATTTCGTGGTTTCTTTTCGGTTCCCCCTTTCTGCGTCTGTTTTCCACCGGCGACACAACAGCAACAGCAACAGCAACGGTGTGTAAAGTAAGCCCATAAAAAGGTACCTTTGCGTTACACGTTGACACTTAAAACGATAGCTTTCACGATAAACGGTTCGAACGATTTCAGGAGTACACTAAAACGGGTACAGCATTCATTCTTTTTTTTTTTTTCTTTTTTTTCTTACTTCTTTTTCTCCTTTTTTTTTTTTGGTTTTTTGGTTTTTCCTTTTCGTTTTTAAATAGTCTTGAAAGATCGCGTGAGATGTCGTTTTCGTGCATTCGAGACATTCTGCCTACTGCGCTCGTTGGACGATCTACTTAACGACGAATGTGACTATCTAACCAACGGTTACGTTAATACAGATCTCCCTCTTCGTTTGAGAGTTACATAACGACGATACATCGCTCGCCCCTTAGTCCAAACACTCCAGAAAAAATATACTTACTGTGTGTCACTTTTGGTTCCATCGAGTCGAGGCTTTCGCCACTTTTTCTCAACTATATACGGGTTACACACGCCTCTGACGCCGCGACCGCCGAAAACGCGATGGAATCGGATGGGACAGTGTGTTTCTTGATCATTTTCGATTGCCACCGACCACTTTCGAATAATTTTGTTACTTGTTACTGCGGACTTCAAAGACTAGAGTTGAAATAATACAACAGGATGAACTAAATAATACGAATTCAGGACCAATTAGATGATACGCTGTGTGGATACATCAAGGTGGATTATTTAACTGTATTGAACTAAATTTACTTGTGAAGTATTCAATTTCAGTAAGAAATCACTTGATCATACTTTCTGCGGTGGTATCTAAAATTTTAAAGACTTGAAGACACGAAGGATCGTATTAGAACATGTAACGTATTTAATGCGATCGACAGCGTTTAGAGTGTTGCTTAAAGAATATCTCGGTGATTATTAATTTTCGTGCTCATGTTAATAGATTTTTTTACTGGTATTAGCACTCGGTACTCTTTCAAGTCGAAATATTACACGTTACAATACGAAAGTCGCCTTCATACTTTCGCCAAGCATACTCGTTTATACATTTTTGTACAAATAGTTTACAAATTAAACTTAGGTAATATTAGCTAAATAATTTATCCCGTGCACTATGCATACGATATACGTGTATTATTTATACATTACACAAACTAAATACAAATATATAAATAACATAGTTTAATATATTATCTAATATATCCTGAATATATTTCATTTCAATACATCACCTTGGTATTTGAGACAATTATCAGTTTACTTTTTATTTCATTCCAAATAAACTCTAGTCTAGTCTCTCTCGATCGTTAACACGCACGTGCGTGAAGATCGTAGATCAAGAAACCCCTCCCCAAGGGGTTCCGTTTGCGTTCCCCTGCTAAGAGAAAACCCTGTGACGTAAGGATAAAAATCGTAAAGGTACGTGTCTGTTGGCAAACCTTCTCTCTCAGTCGGATGCCCTCGAAAGATCGTTTCGCGGGAG